AGCCCGATGTTTGGTTTGACCCCTACGTCGTGTTCGAGGTGGGCTCTCACCTGCGAGATAAACATATCATTTACCATAATTTCAAGAAAGCCTCTTGTTAATCAGTATGTTTAAGCTGTAAACTTTCTTCACGTTGTCATTCAGGTTAAATGCGCTGATTTGTCAATCTCTCCTCGTCATATGGCTGCAAAAGGGCTTGTCGACAAAGACAAAGGAATATCTCTTCGCTTTCCCCGTTTTCTTCGAATCAGGTATTTTAGAATATAGATATGGATATACTGCATGCACTTTATTTTTATAGAGAAGATAAAAAGGGTGAAGATGCTACCACAGCGTCACAAGTTGCATCCATGTACAAAAATCAAGATCAGATTAGAAATCAGGCAGGTCCGGCAGAAGAAGAAGATGATGACATTGAGTACTAGCATCTCACTTACTTATGGTTTTGCTTTTTTTCCAAGCGTTTTATGCCGGTTGCCTTAGTCTAGAATTTTTTTTTATCTGGGCTAGCTGATTCTGGATTACCTCCTTTTCTCTTCTTTATAGTCAGCATAGGACGCGCAATAGGATCTCATTCTTTGTGGGTCAATAATCCGTTGTAGCTTTGCACGGCTTTTTGCGGGCTGATGTATATAATTGGTCAATTACTTACTTGTTTGAAACATGTTATCAATGAAATAAATTCTTAGTTTGTTCGTACACCCTATCGTGCTATAGTTTGAACATAGTAAACAGTGAGAATATTTAGTGCAGAGTATGCCTCTAGCAATCCAGTGCACCTGATAGGAAGGTTGAAGAGATACCATAAAGGTAGTGTGTATACGCATCTTCATAACAACTGCGCAATTTGCAATCTGATTGATGGAACAGGTTTCAAGTTTGCTTGAATCGTGTGATTAAGAGTTTCAATTTTGCCTCATCGGCAAATATCATCTCCAAAAAAAATTAGTCGTAAATCCAAAAATGAGTTCCGTTGAACATGTGCTGCACTTATGATTAAGAATTGTGAGTTTTCAACAATTTCACAGTCATTTGCGCAACACATTTGCTATCTGTGTCGAACCCACCGCAGCTTCTGGTGTTTCCGAAAGCTCTAGGTGCTTAACATCATCTGCGGAAATAATTCCGCAGGTTAGTTCTTTTAACACGGATAGTTGAACTATCACAATTGCCGTACTGTTAGGGTTAGTCACTCAACCATATTGGATGTGAATGGCTCCATTAGACATTAGACACGAAGTTCGCTTCGCAGGCTTTATGAGATCTTCGCAATTTTTGGTAAAGATTTCTATCTGAATTCTTTTTGGCTGTTCAGACTGAGAGAAAAATGCATTCCAAGGCTAGACCAGTTTGGGTTTCTTTTTGCACGATTTTGTGTTTCATGCAAATGGAAAGCGAAAAACTGCATCACAGACTACTTTTTTAATCTGATCTCTTGGAAGAACTCTACGTATGCGACGATTTTTAGGTCCGCTATGTATTGAGCAGTTAAGTTACTCAAACCTTGAATTAGCGAGTCAAAATGTGAGTAAAACATCAAATATTAACATACATAAAAACTTGCTCTCTAATTAACCGGAGTATATCCGATACTGAGAGGGTGAAACGAGAATATATGAAATTTAAGCAATTCAATCACGAACATGAACTTCAACGCTTTCTAGGGCTTTCAATGAACATAACGCCGTGAAAATAAAACGGAACAATAGAAAATTGCCTCTATGATGAAGAGTACATAGCAGTCACACTTTCTCAAAACGTTTGCTACAGTATATACGGCACAGGTAACTTACCTGGATTTCGCATTTTGGATATGAGAAAATTATGCTTTTCTAGTGCTGTTCTTGAAAGGAATCATCACTAGGTTGTTCATAGAAAAGGATGGAGACCGTAGGTGAATTTGATATCCAAAAAAAACGTTTAGAATTATACTGACACGTAGGCAACATGATGTGTGGCTGTATAGGTAAAGCCTTGTTGCGATATTGAACCTAATGAAAAGCCATGGCAAGCGTTGTCTCGCCGAAAGCTAGCCAGAAGCAACTTAATGTTGAGTTTAGACCATGAGTATGAAAAACGTTCAAGTATTCTAGAGATTGTGAGCACAGCTTAGGCATGCACCTTGAGCCTTCTGCTTCGTTTTCCTCAATTTTTTTTTGTTAAATTGCCGCTGTAAACTAGATGAAACACGTTTATTGTTTTCATCGCTGTCAATCACAAGCAAATTAATTCGATCTAACATACACTGTATTAATAGGTGACAAATCGTGCACCGTAGTCGATAGATCGAAATCAAAGATAAAGGGTAGAATCTAGCTGGCATAATCGAATTTAGCTTTCACTTTTTACATTACTGGGTG